CTGTAAGAGAAATGGCAAGGAAATAGAAAGATCATCTAACAAACGGAATCCATGGGAAAGTAACTTTGAAGAGGAAAGAGCGAGTTGACAGTGTTCAATGCTACAGAGAAGTTACTAAAAAGGACGCAAACCTGATGACCTAATATCTCTGCTTCCATTTATTCCATTAGCACATCTTCTATGTCTTGGCTTTTCCTTGCCTTCAGGTGCCCTACCCGAGTGAGAATGTGATGGTATTGAGATGCCACAGCTTCAGCTGCTAGGACATAACATGACCTATTCCTTAAGTTTAGGTTCTTAGGTTGCATGTCCACCATCTTCCAAATAAAGGTAGATACCAGGTCCCCTCTGAGTCTCCCCAAACTACCTCTTCTCTAGGTCTCTGTGTCTCTAGACATCCTTGGAAGCTTCTTGACTGATGAGGTTTAAGGAAAAATCAGTTTATTTTCTGTATTCCTGAACATCCTGAATTGATGGACTGCATAAACGTACTTAATAGTCTAGCTACAATGTTTGTGTCTAGATTTTAGAATCGTTGTTACCAGCTAGAGGAAAGTAAGAAGGAAGCTCACGCTGCCCTATCATAAAGACTGTGAAGTGCATTACAAATGCAGAAGAAGCATTCAGGAGATCAAAAAGTGAAAGGTTTAGAACAACAATTGTTGGGAAGGCTATTGACTAGAGATGAATAAAAGGATTGCCCAGCATAATTGAAGGCCTAATTGAACCAAATTAGAACCAAATGACTCAGCTTTGGGAGTGGTATCGAGAGGTATTAAGTACACAGGGCCGAGGAATAGATAGGTGAGAGGAGTCAGATGAGGGAAGAGTGGAAATAGATAGTTTGGACTGTCAACTAGGCACAGGACAAAGAAAACTACACTTTAAAACATGCTGCCACATAGAGTATCTCAGGAGCTTTATCTCAGACTAGTGAATTATGGAGAAGTTTGCCATTCAAGTTTTCTATGAATAAAGTGATGGTGGTGGGGAGAGACGGGAGGGCGGTTGTGTTTGGAGGCGGGACGTGAATCCTAAAGTCTTGGATTTGGAAGCAGCATCAGTTTTTTTTTTCTTTTTTTTCCAAAGATTGGCACCTGGGCTAACAACTGTTGCCAATCTTTTTTTTCTTTTTCTGCTTTTATCTCCCCAAACCCCCCTGTACACAGTTGTATATCTTAGTTGCATGTCCTTCTAGCTGTGGGATGTGGGATGCCGCCTCAACGTGGCCTGACGAGCAGTGCCATGTCAGCGCCCAGGATCTGAACCCTGGGCCGCCGCAGCGGAGCGAGCGAACTTAACCACTCGGCCATGGAGCCGGCCCCGCAGCATCAGTTTTGAGTGGAGACATGATTCCCAGGTGTGACTGGGAAGTGGCGGCAAGGGGAAAGCACTGAGCCCTCTGAGGCTCTGCAGCTGGGAGAAGAGGACAGTAAATTAGAGGAGCCATCTGTGTGGAAATGGAGGATGATGAACTAGGAGCTGGGCGGGCATCCTCCTTCACCATGACTCGTTTAGGGCCACACAGACCATGTGGCTTACATTGCTGGTCCAACCAGTACTCCTTCACTATAGAATGTCGAAAGTACATGCACTGCTCGAGCCTGGGGCTGGTGGGTTGGAAGTGGTGACAGAGGAAGGCTTCTGCAGGAGCTCAGAGAGCGGACAGGAGCTCCAAGAGGCAACAGCAAGGGGAAGGAGCTGACTTGTGCCCTGGAACTGAAAGGCTCCATGATTTCTACACACACAATCAGCCTCAGAGTGGGCTTTGCCACTTGGGGTCCTCTTTTCCTGGTCATGACATTCTTTATGAGCAGACCCTCTTGAGGAGGAAGAGAGTGGGGGGACACTGTGTCCTGGTCCCTTACATTTGCCCCCAAATTAATATGCTGCTGTGAACAGTTTTTATCTCTTTAATTTTTATTTTTTCTGGATAATAATGATGGAATTTAGCTCCATAGGTTGGTATGTAGGGTGATACATCCTCTCAGAAGGTGACAGCTTTTGAGATGTTGTTTTGACCCAAGGTGGGAAATAAGCAGAGGAGAAATGAATTTCTTCAAGAGCAATATGAAGTAAGTAGAAGGTACTCTTACAAAAGGCTCCTCAAGGCATATTTTCCATGAGGCCACACAGCCCAGTGGCCCAGGTTTCACAAGCTAAATATGCGTCCACAGTGCAGGTCTTTATTACATAAGTTAATAGGATGCCAGGATGAGAAAGGTGTCAGATCAGCTTTAGAACCAAATCCCTTAGCAGAACTCAGCAAGAGTTAGAGTGCCCTCAGAATATTATATCCCACTTAGTTTGTCAAGGGAATCAAAAGACTCCTCGAAGAATGTCAGAGTGAAGAGGAACTCCACTGTGAACATCCTTGTTCCGCGTGCTAAGCTACACAGTATGGTGAGTAGACGCTACTTGGGCTCTGCCACAAGACAGCCCCAACGTGGCTCTTCCTGGCTGTGCACACATCTCCTCACCTCTCCAGCCTCAGTACCCTCTGATGCTCCCTTCAAAGGGAGGAAAATAGGGGCTGGCTCAATGGCATAGTAGTCGGGTTAGTACGCTTGGCTTCAGTGGCCCGAGTTCTCGGGTTCAGATCCCCACATGGACCTAAACATGGCTCATCAAGCCACGCTGTGGCGGGATCCCACATACAAAGTAGAGGAGGATTGGCATAGAAGTTAGCTCGGTGAGAATCTTCCTCAAGCAAAAAGAGGAAAATTGGCAATTAGGTCAGGGCCAATCTTCCTCACCAGAAAAAGAAAAGGAGAAAAATAATGCCTATCTCATGTCCACCTCCTTTAGAAAGCATCTAGTACTGTCCATGCACATATATAAACCCTCAAAAATGGAAACTATTTTAATTGCACTTATGATTTTAAAAATCCTAATTTCTGCCTAGATGTGGAGATAAGGACAATTTATTTCCTTTAAGATCCGATTGCCTTAGCCCACAGCTAGGGATACCTCACATATCTTGCAATAAACACCTCATGTTAAAATGCAGTTGACCTTTTCAGCAGGGGCCATAATTACACAAGATGACAATTATCAGGCAGAATCCTAGGGAACAGTCCTATGAAATATCCTGAGAAGCATATTAAGCCTCATTTGGTTTTATGACTTCCAACTGCTTCCTAGAATTTTAATTCTAACTGCCCCTCTAGGAAATTTGCGGGACTGCTCAAATGCATAGTTCTGGTAAGATTTCACAGTCAGCATTGGCCTTAGCGCTGGAAAATCATTAGTACTCAGGAGGAAACCCATATTGTGGCAGGTGGAAACTCAGGGTTTCACGCGCCTCCTTGGGGGCGGAGGGAGCCTTTGAGCTGAAACGCCTTGAGCTAACCACATCCTCCGACCTGGGAGGAAGCCAGTGGCACTCTTGGGGTTGACAGAGGCTTGCCTGGGGCACCAGCAGTCGTGACTGTGAACACCATCTTCATGCTGGCTTCTCTATACATGGCGTCCAGACCACCTAGGTCTACCGAGACTCAAGGATTAGAGGTGCTGTTCCCTTCTCCTCACCTCCACTCCTTTTGCCCCAAACCTGAAAGCTGCTGCAAGGCTTCACAAAGGTCACACGGATGCTTTCTGGAGATGGGTCTTGCTTAATGGAATCAAGTCCTCTTTTTCTAAATAGCAGGTTTCTCAAACTCAGAAATTGCCTCCCTCCCTTGCTCCTGGCAGTCTCAGTGAGTCCCTGTGTGTGCCCCGCCGTCCCAGGCACAGGCACACCATTGCGAACAAGACAGTTCCTGCCCTGCCTTGAGGAGCTTGCAGCCTAGTCGGGGAACTGGTTGAAGGCAGCTCGCTCCAGCTCCACTCTACCCTCTCAATCTCCCTATGTTCACTGCAGCATTATTCACGATGGCCAAGAGGTGGAAGCAACACAAGTGCCCATCAGTGGATGAATGGATAGTGGCTGAGCCTTTTAGGGTCTGGCCCTGGTGCCACTTTGGAGGAGAAGTGCCTCCTTGATGTCTCTAATCATTCCAGGATGCCCACACTGACTTGAGATGGCCCAGAACCTGAGTGAGGCCACTGCTCAGGTTTAACTGCTCCTTTCCTTCCCCTGTCACAGGCTCAAATGACCTTCCAGAACAGTCTCCACTTGCTGAGACCTACCGGGAATCTACCCCAAGTGGGCAATGTGCTATGTTTGCTTCAATGAGACAATGTCTGTACAAAAAAATTTCCCACAGAGATTAAACACCACAGGTTTTGAATCCTAGTTCCTCATTTACTAATCGAGTGAGCTTGAGTTTCCTCATCTGTAAGGTGAGGATGATAACTACACCTCTCTCATCAGGACTGTGGCAGAGATCACAGGGGATAGTGATGTAAAGATTTACCACCCTACCTGGCACATAGCCAGCGCTCCGTAAATGCTCGCTCAGGTGGTTTCTTCCATCCTAAAGAAGGTCTCTGTGATTACACCACATTTGCAAGACCCTTTCCCCAGATGTAAGAAATGTTTCATTAGCTATCAGAGGACGCTTCAGAAACTACAGAAGTTTCCAGGAATCCTTTGAATACATTTCTCCCTTTTCTATTTGTACGATTAGCATATTAGCTTGGACCCTGTGTCACTAAGATATTTGACAATAAAAGCACATCAGTGATTCACTACTCACAAGCAAAGTGAAACCTCAAACCTAGGAGAGGATCAATGGAAGCATCTTCCAGGAGCAAACCTATTTTCTCTCTTCACCTCATTTGGGTGAGGTAATCGGAGGCACTTGGAAGGAAGTCAGGCTAAAACTTCAGTAGGAAGTCAGGCTAAAACCCTGCTGCACACACTTCATTAAATCCAGGCAGGAAAAGCAGGGTCTTAACTACTGCAGGGAGCAAACTACAGGAGCCAGCGGAGCCTGAGGAAGGTTGCGAGCTTGGCCAGAACTAAACAACAGTGGGTGCAGGACTCAAGAAGATGGTGAAACAGACAGAGGGAACATGGAGAGGGCTCTGCCCCTCATGGGGAACACTTTACATACCAATTCCTTCTTCTTCATGCACTCCATGAGGATGATGAAGAGATGCTGAGCCTGGGTTCGAGTGTATGTGAATGTCTTCTGGATGGTCACCAGCAGCTGGTCCCTCAAAGATTCATTTATAAGTCTGCAAGGAAAAATAATGTCAAAAACAGGTCAACCCAGCTCCTCTACAGTATGTATTTCTGAGAAAAATTATAGAACACAAGAAAGCATTATGAGGATTTACTTTAGAGAGGAGTTCTTTCTGTATTTTTCTCACAACAGTTATTCGACTGTGATAATTTAAAAAACCAGTGCATTTAAAAATAAATCCGTTTTAATATTTCAGAACCTAAAAGAGTAAAGTAAGAAGATTGATTTAGTTATTTTGTCTCTCTCTTTCCTTTATATATGTGTCTAATACTCTCTTTCTCAAGTATTGTTATCAAAAAATGCCTTCAATTAATCCTTTGCATCTTGGTAAAAAATTTACTGTGTTACTTATCTGAAGAAGATTTAAATTTCAACTTTATCTCTAGTTGTGGAAAGAAAGCTTATATCCCAGTAATGGATTTTTGAACACCAGTGAGGAGAAATAGGACTTATGTTTCCTCTAAAATCATTCCATGTAAGTGGTAGCTTATCTGACCTATGATTCAGGACATCATTATGCTGAGCTTTTACTGTGTTACAGCCAACGAGAAGAGTCTGACCAATAAAGACATATCATATTGACTATTTCATTAAAAGACAGTTTTCCTACTATAGAAGAATGAAAGAAAGCAAGGAAGGTGCATCATGTCCAATCAATGCTCTATTATCTCTTGAATAGGGACCAAATCATAACTAAATTTTAATTCCTCTCCCGCTAGCCTGGTGAGAACTAGTCTGTCTCTACCAGCCATCAAATGGCAGATGAAAATTCACTTTATTATTAACAGATATTGTCCGAAATCAGGAAGATAAAACTGCTCTCAAGGGCCAGTGACCAAATTATCATAATTTGCCCAGTATTTTACAGTTCGCAATTTTTTTTCATAGTTGAAGTATCAGCAACTCCTATATATGACATAAAATATAATTATTCTCATTTGGTGCTTACAGGAACCCAATAGGCAAAGGATTTGTACAGTTTAAAAGGGAAAGATAGTGTAGCCAGAAAGAGCCAGCTGCTTAAGGTCACTCCGCAGAGAAGTGGTAGAGCCAGAACTAGTTTTTCTGATTCCTTGTCCAGTGCTCTTTCCACTACACCACGCTGCCTCTTATTACACCAAGTGCACTACACCGCTGCCTCTCTTCGTCACTGTGGCTGATAGAGAAGGACATTGTGAAATTTCCTTTAACAGAAAGCATGACAAATTTTGTTGCTTAAAATAAAGCAAGATGGGAGGCCTGAGAATATCTTCATATCACTGGTCTGCTGTGCCCCAGGATTGTGTGAGGATTCACCTGGGTGTACTAGGTTGGGCATTATGGTGGCCCTACTTTGAGGAGGGTGCATTCCCCATGACAGAATTATACCAAGATCTTGGAACGTCACTTAGCTTGATGGAGAACTGGGTTAGCCCTTCTGCTCCCCAGGAAGATTTATATCATGAACATATACATTTAGGAAAAGAAGGTGGTCCAGATAAGGTTACAAAATGATTCCAGATCCTCTCAAGATTACTAAATTATTTTGGAAGACTCTGTGGCCTTAGGTGTGGGCCAGTCTGAAACCTTTCATTCATTCATTCATTCATTCAACATTGCTTAGGGGTTTCTATTTAGTGCCAGGGCTACAGGGATAGATGAGATATACACACTCCCAGCCTTCGTTGAACTTAGACACCCGAGGAGTAGAAAGACAGGAACCAGCAATGCAACTGTGATTGACAGTGATGAAGAAGTAGAGAAGCTTGTGGCAGGTGAGTATAATCTAATCTAGGAGGTTCAGGGGAGACTCCTCTGAGGAATTGCTGTTTCATCTGAGACATGGAGAACGAATGAGCGTTAGCGTGGTCAGCGGGGTCGGGAGCCGGCTAAGAGCGTTCTTTGCAGGAAAAAACAGCATGAATAGGCCTAGTTAGGAGAAAATAAAAAGAAGGTTGGTATGGTTTGAGCATAGGGAGTAAAAGAAAGAGTGGAACAAGATGGGGCTGCAGGAGGGATGAGCAAGGACAAGATCATGGGGGACTTTCCAGATAGTGTTCGAAGCCATTGAAGGATTTAAGTTGGAGAGTGACATGATTACATTTGTGTTGCCAATGAATCTTCTTGAAGAGTCCAAACATGAGCAGTCAGACCTGGACATGTGTCTACTTCTCAGGTAACCCATGTGGATGGGTCTAGAGGGTTCTGTAATATCAAGTGTACATACAGGTTGTACATGATTAACAACAGGAGAGACTCTCCTGATTAGCCACTTGATAGAGCCCGTCATTTGTCTGCAGCTGTCTAATTTCGATAACAACTCAAAATTTGTTTTCCATTGCCAACCATCTGTAATGGAGTCCCAGTTCCCTGAGGTCATTAGCTGTTTGAAGGATCTGTCTGTCACTTGCATCCAGCCTGTCACTTTGTGAAAATTGAGGAATGATATGCAACTTAGCTGACACTGATTGAGGGCTTCAGTGCTTTGGAGAGCTGAAAGGCACTAAGAATCTTATACTATTTAGCCCAATTTTGCAACGGACTGAGTTGTGGCTTTGGCTAAATCATTTAGCAATAAGAACCATGGAATTCTACTTCTAGAAGGAGAACAATTCTCTAGGTTGGTGTTTTCCAAAGTGTGGGATGCCTGTCATTGATGGAGCAGAGATGGTTTTCAGTGGAACGAAGGTGATCTGGTCCTTCCAAAGGACTAAGTTATACTCGTTAAATATTAAATAACTGTTATTTCTGGTTCAATTCTTTTCCCATCTTTCTGAGTGCATCAAGAGGAAAATCTCATTTTTGATGCTTTTTGGCCTTTAACAGCTCCCCAATATTTGAAAATTTCTTCCCCTTTTGACAAAGAAATAACAGCTATTATGTCCTATGCCTTTGGCAGAAAGAGTTTAATAACACAGTGTTAAAAAAGATCCCACATGACATTTGACGTGTTCATAGCACGTTATAGCTTATGACACACAGCAGCCTACAGAGATAATCTCATTTGGTCTTCGTAACTATCTGAGTCAAGCAGGTATTCCATTCTGCAGAAGAGGAGACTGTGGCCCAAGAGGTTAAATGATTTGTGCAAAGTCGCATAGCTTGGTGCTCTCAACACTTGAGTTGATTCTATTGCATTCAGCCTTCCTTCCGTGCTGCTGCTTTTCCTGATTGTAATCTATAAATATGTCTTTCAGTTTCCTAATTGTCTGCGTTGGAGGTAGAAATTTAAGCGTATTCACTGTGAGAAATTGCTTTTCCTTTTTTGTGATATAGAGAACATCTGAAGGAAATCAGATGAGTTTGAAGAAGATAAGGGGAAACCAGTAAATGAAAACAATGGCAAAGTGCGTGGAGTACATTGAAGATTAAATTTGCTTCTAATTTTTCACAAGTATTTCCCATGCTGAACTAGATTTTTTTCTATTTGGCACAAAGGCTTCCTCTGTGTTCTCCAAGTACCCTTTCTTATTGTGTGGCCATATTCCTTAGGATTTTGGAAGCCTGCTTTCCTGAAATTATTGCTTTCTTAGCTCTTCTCATTTTTTTTTTCTTCACAACACTGGAATGATTTAAAAGTCTTGACTGTGATATTTAATCTTCAGCAAAAATAGAAACAAGCCCATTTTTAGATTTCTTTTTATGGCATTAGAATAGTGATTGAAAATTTCTTGACATCAAAACATGGTCATAGTATTATGTAAAATTTTAGTTCTAGAATTGAGTCTTTGACAAAGTGGTGCCTATTTACAGAAACTGTTAATTTGTGGCTCCATATGTACCAATGCTATTTTTGGTATACCTCAAATTAGAAGGTTTTCTGATTTAAGAAGTGTAGTCATTAAAGTGAGGAAAATCTCTAAGCTATGGCATTTGTGTTTCCATTTAAATGCTGTACTTGTGATCTGGAGCTCTTTAGACGAGTCACAGAGTTATTTGAAATAGGTCAGTGTTCAGACAGTGCTCAAAAGGTCCCACAGTTTGTTATTAGTATTCTGTTCAAATGCTGCCAATACAACCCACATGTACACTCTTTTCTCAGGAGGAATATAATTACCTGCAATATCAGAGTTTTGTTCCCGGATACGAAGTTAGAAAATGCATTTTGAATTCAATGGCACTTGAAGAGCTGGACTGAGGTGACCGAGGTTAATGACTTTTGAGGAGAGGAGGCTTTCTTGTGTCCTCCATAGACACTCTCTATTAACTTATTCAGATACAATATGAGAAAATTTTACTTATGTAAATAAAAAAAGATTGTTAACAGTATCACAATTTGGTACTTAAAAAAGTATCATTTCCCATGGAATCTCTAATGCTGTAAAGAAAAATGAAATTTTATCATTTGCTTGAAGCTAAAGCAAGTTACTAAATGAGATATTAAGGGCACAGAAAGGTTACCATGTCTTGTCTAACATCACAGAGAATGGTATTTTCCTTTTCTATCTCCTCCCCTTCTTCTTATTTAGTAAAAGTTACCACTTCCTCCCAAATGCCATGACTCTGGGGTCACAAGTGACAGCATGATTCTTCCCAGAGAGGCAGGACAGCATTGTGAATAAAAGCATCATGGCCCCCAGGCCAGGCTGCCTGGAGCTAAGCTGTCACTTGCTAGCTATGTGATCTTGTGCAAGTTATTTAGTCATTCCATGTCACATTTTTCATATATGTAAAATAGGAATTAAAATAGTATAATCATAGACCTGTGACTATTAAATGAATTAATTTTCGGAAGGGGCTTAGAAAAGTGCCTGACACATAGCAAGTCTTTTGTAAGCATTTGCTGTTATTTAAACATAGTCCTACAATGCTCCTTAAGAAAGAGTCCCTGACATATTCCTTCTTGTCAAGTGGCATGACCTGTGACTGGGCCTTCTGTGGGCAATTCAGAGCTCTTTCCTGGGATCGACAGTGCTCTGCATACCTGATGAGCCCGATGGTTGAAGGACCATTACAATCTAGGCTGAGGAAATAAGTTTCCCACTGCAGAGAGGTCAGAGATCACCAATTCTT